TATAACGTTTAAAATTATCTTTTAATTACTGGTCACCAGAAAAATTAATCTCAATTACTACATTGATCAACTACCAGTTAAAATACCAAACGTTTGGTCTCAATTCCTGTCAACCCAACTTCAATCTCAAATCCTGTCAACTTCGATCTCAACTTCGATCCCGAATACTGACTTTTTGAACTCCGATCCCAAATACTGACCTATCGATCCCAAATTCTGACCTACTTCGATCTGAACCTCGATCCCAAGTAATGATGCAATCCCAAATACTGACCTACCGATCCTAAACTCTGACATACTTCGGTTTGAACCTCGATCCCAAATACTGATGCAATCCCAAATTTTGACCTAATTAAGCGACATGCTTTGCGTTGTGTTTCCAAAAACTCTCAAGCCAATGAGTACTAGTATTGAATTTTTTCGGCGTTGTGTTTCCAAAATACTAAAAGGTTAGATCCACCGATTTAGTTAACAAATTTTTTTTTATTTGTTCTAGGACACCGCTGACAATGGTCGTTGCCTTTAATTTCCGCATTGCTTTAGATAAGAGTTCCAGCTCTAGCTTTTAATTGCTCACATGCAAGTTCAGTAATAAACAAAATCCTGAATCCACATACAGTTTGCGGAATCCGCTTACAAGTTTTGCGGATTCCACTTTCATTTGCGGATTCCACTCACATTTTGTGGAATCCACTTACAGTTACGGAACTCAGAATTACTAGCTATATTCGCTTCTTGTAGAATCCGCGGTACAAGAATGATGCCAACAAAATTTACGTTACAGGTATTTGAATGGGGAATCCAAGGAAGTTTGAAAAGGAACATGTTTAAAGGTTTGTCTATGGAATCCAGGAACATACAGACGCAAAACTGTGCGCCTATCCAGTTCACCGTTTGGCCTCCTAATGACCGACGTTTCATGGATAAAATCGGATTATAAAAGATGGATTCTTGTTGACTAAAATGCTGTCTATATAATCACTTAACATGGCAAATTAAGACCATTTAGTGGTCTTTTAATCCATTAGAATCGATTATTTTTTTCAAAAAACACGTTATAATCTCCATTTTTGTTTTCAATATAATTGATTTTTTTTGTAGATTGTACTCTACTTTTTGCAGCTTTCTGCAAAACTCGAGCGCGAACAAACGCCTTTATCCTCATAATCACGGTTCACTACAGTAGTATTAGAAATACTACACGGACAAAGGACCACTTTCTAAAATGTTTTTTTTTTATTGACCCAATTCTAAGTTGGAGCGTGCCATTTAAATAAAAGTCTTTTTTTACTAAATCAGATATTGACTGATTCATTCTTATTAGGACAATAAAATCTTGTTTTGAAAATCCGCTACTTTTTAAATACTCAACAAATTTTTCTCATTCTTTCATGCTCAGTATTTTAAAAAGGCGGCGATTACTCACACGTCCCTTTTAACTATAACTTGAAACAAGGTGGATAAAAATTTAGCAGTCTTGCCGGCTGCACAGGAATTTTCCTTGCTTTGATTAAGCAGAGATGCACCTGCAATATGATGCATCAGAGACAGTACTATGGTTTTTTAATAAGATTGAACTGAAGGCTGCGGTTTTAATCAAAGTGGTCTAATAACATAAAAATATATGATTTGAAAAAACCAAATAAAATCTAGTTGAAAATTCCCTTATGGGGAAGGGAGAAAAAAGGACTAGGTGAAATCTAAATACTTAAAGATGAATAGCCGCCGGTTTATGCCTACGAGCAAAAGGACTGGCCTGAAATCTTCAGTGTTTCGTTTTGCACAGCCAGCAGCAAGTCTTCTAATTTAACAAAATCAGTTTTAAAATGAATATTTTTTCTCTTTCACTTTTACAAAATTATAAAAACTACTCTTTTTTCCCAATAAAACAGAAAAATAATTTTCTCAATAAACAGTGACAAACAACAAAGAACAACGGACAAGACTCCTCAAGACGACCGAACAGAAGTGGACTCAACCAAGATTGACTCGAGAATCCTACCAAATCGTCAACCTTAGTAAATAGATGAAATATTAAATCTAAGTTTAGAGTAAATACTCCAACCCTCATAGCTATATTTCTTTAAGCTGTTCGATTCAATTATATTATCTTATAAATCTGTGCTTTGTATTCACCCAGCTAATTAATTCATACCTTTTCTAACTATTGTTTCTAATATAACACTGGTCAAGAAACTTGACGATCTTAGGTGAGACTTATAACTTAGGATAGATTACTAAGCAATCAACCAGCAATGATAGCTTAGTAATACTGGTGCGACCGCAGCAGAGAACTACTCCTTAAGAAATTCGTTTTCCAATAAAAAGTTCCAAAATTCAAAAAGTACTAAGATTAGGATCTGTGAGTATTTGTTAGATTAGTTTTCAATCTTAAAAAACCAGAGACAATGGGTGTCTTTCGATAGAAACACAATTTAATTGTCTTGTACTTGACAGACATTCCTAGTAGGGCTCTTGCAAAAAGTACCCCCTACGCTAGCAGTCACCCACGATATTGCTCCATCTCGAGGTCTTTTATACGCTTTCTAACTGACATTAGCCCATGAACTTAACTATTATCTATTATTGTAACAATATATATTATTTCTGAAAGAATAGTTCTCTGCCTAAGTCTGCTATTAGGATAAACCCTTTTTGTCCAGCAACCCACTAAAAACATGCCAAAACTTCAGTTTAGAGTTATCATTGCTAAAATTGGCTAAAACTGTATTCAACTAAAGTGCTCAAAAACTTATAAATATCTTCATTCTTTTTTTGAGGGGTTCAAGTGGTCAAATGTGCAATCTACGAGTACCCTTTTTGTATGATGAATTGAATTTTTCATCACAAGTATATCCAACCATTCACGCTTGTTGCTATTTATTCTAAACCTTCATCATTTATCGAGGCTTATCCTCAATTTTCCTTAAACTAATTTTATTTTTACCAACCTTAACGTAACTTAAACCTAAATCATCCATCAGTAAGGCTACTAACTACTGAAACTTAGTGAGGAAATAACAATAACTTAAAAAGAAGGAACGGATTTGGGTGTTTTTACTAAATCATTGATTTTTTTATGACGCGGTTTGAATATAAAACTCATAACAATAAAAATACGCATTAAAACCAATCTTAAACGTTAACCACATAGCACCAAACACAAAAATTTAGTTTCAGCACAAAAATTTTAGGTTTCACAACAAAAAAAAATAAAAATAAAACACTGACACATCCACTTTATATTGATAAAATAGGTTTCATATGATAGCCTAAGCACTAGAAAATTGATTTTTACCTTCCAAAATTTTAGGTTTCAGCCTAAGTTTTGGTTAAGGGATCAAACGTATCAGCTAAAATAAGTATAGTTTCCGGTCAAAATTTTAAGTTTCTTTAAACGAATTTGGAAAAAACAGCCAAAGTTGAACTAGTGAAACCCAAAATTGGATACCATAAGTCAAAAACCTGGTCTCAAATGATGAGATTGTAATAGTTTCAGGTTTCAGATCACATAAACTGAGTTTTTGGTCTCCAAATTGAGCTCCGAACGCCAATTGTGACTTTTTAGAGAAAACTAACGGTGTTAATACGCACCAAACTATTTCAAAATTTGGTTCACAAGGCTGAAACTTACGTTTCAGAATCGGTGTTTTTGGTTTCAGACCCAAAAATGTTGCATCCCAAGTCTTAGGTAGATAATAGTAAAATTTTGTAAAACTTAGGTAGATAATAGGAATCCTAAATGCACTAACCAATTTTTAAACTCTAAAAATTTCTAGAATCGTCGTTCTAGGCTAAAATTTTTTTGGCAATTTTATTGCTGGAATAGAAAAATATCAGAGATACCAACCTAGATCTCCACAATTCCCCCGTCCCACACGTCCCTCATCATGCCCCTAACCCACCAGAACCTCTTCACCGAACACCCCCACCAAAAAAACCACCATAGGACCTCCGAAAACAAATTAGGAAAACTTTATTTGCAATGAATTTTATGCTACTGAGTTTAAAGTTGGCTATTTAATTTGAATCAGATTTCATTCAAAAACAAATTGAGATCATCAATTTGGTTTTAATGATAAACTGATGGACTTGAAAAACATCATTTTTTATTCAGATAACTTGTAAAGGGCAAGGGTGTCAAAAAAAATCTGAGAAAATTTCGAAACCTTTCAGTTTTTTCAGTTCATCAATTACTTGTATCAAAGATTTTTTTCTTCGACCTTAAAGGGTTGTTGTCGTAACACTTGATTTATCAGCAGCAGTTTTGTTTCACTTTGTTCATTGATTTGTTGATTTTTATTGACTTGACTACGCCTATATATTACAGCCGACTACTGCTTAAAATTTATTATTCTGAGAACCAAACAAAATGAAACACTGAAATAGACTTGAAACGCTCAACTTCAGGTACTGCCTCAAGGGGTCATTTTAAAGACTTTTTGGTTGTGATTTAGATTCCCAAAAATAGCTTAAACGTTTTTGCTAATTAATTTTTTTCCAGCCCTATTGTTTAATTTAAAGCTTTATGGGTCGTAATTTAGAAAACAAAAAATAAGAATACAAAAAATTGACTGCAGTTTTTATTAGTTTTGAGGCTAAATCATAACTAATCATAGAAAAAAACCTCCCATACCAACTACAATTATAGTTTTGTTGACCTTGTTTTTAATGCATACCGCACGCTTTCAGCGTTTCACGTTTTTCATTTGCCCAAAAAACAAATAGTCAGAAAGTTAGTGAAAATAATAAACAACAATATTTTGATTTTTCTTTAAATGTTAAAATAATAAGCTACAAGAAATTTTCTTAGTTAAATTATTTAACAAGAAAAATTTGATTTTTCTTAATTTTTTCTCTGTTTGAATTTCTTCTTTAAAATCATTGCGCTCGAAACAGCCTGCGCGATTTGCACAGCAACTGACTATCCTTGGTTTTTGGTTGCTGCTGAATGGTTGCTGTTAAATTTTTGGTTGCTGCTGATTGTTGAAGGCCCGTCAAATGTTTCAAAATGGTTGTACTCTAAACATATTTCAAAAACACGCCCACTGAGAAAGAAACAATTCAATCAGTATCGGTATCTCAAGTTATTTCAACAAAGTCAAATCTGATAAATTAACTGAAGCAGCACTAGAAAATAAGTTTACTGATGTGGCTCCGTTCCCATAGCCCCCAAACCATAACCCCCTCCCCCACCTCTTGAGCAAATTGGACCACCCCTTGAGCAAATTTCTCAGCCTTCTGACCCTTTTAAGGGGAGTGGGTGACGGGGGAGCTGTGAAACAGAGCCTTTTATGTTCATCGTTGTGTTTTCTAGAATTTTCGATAATTTTTTCCATTTTAGTTATATAATGCTTGGTGTTCTGCGCGTTCTTTTATTTTTCCTTTTTCCTTCCTACCAAGTCCTTGAACAAATTGTGGCCTCCCATGCCTTCTACAATTGCAGCCCAGCCTTCAGCGGTTGTCAGGAACTTCGCAGTTGCGAATGTTGAACACAATTTGGGTATGATCACATTTGAGTAGTTGTACAGAATACCCTCTTCAATTTTGGACACAACATACTCCGGCTTCAAAATTGGCATTAGGAAATCCATCTTGTTTTTAGAAGTTCCCTGAAACATCCCGGTATCCACGACGTACGGACATACAAGAGTTCCAAATATGGTGTCTTTGAACCCTTGGCCACGAAGTTCAAAGACAAGGGACTCGTGAAATCCAATCGCCGCGAACTTACTGGCGCTGTAGTCGGTTAGTCGGGGCGACCCGCCGAACCCCGCAACACTCGCTATAGTAACAATATGACCCCTATTTTGTTCCATCATTTTGGGCAAAAACGATTTCACCGTCCAGAAATGTGAAATTACGTTAACTTCGAACGTTTTCACGATTCCGATGTCGTCTTTCTCACAAAGGAAACTGTTTTTGGTAACAATTCCTGCGTTGTTAATTAGAATATCGACCGCCTTGCCGATTTTTTCGGCCTCTGCGTATACTTGATGACGGTCGGTTATGTCAACTATCGCATACGTGAAGCGATCGTTTTTTGCTGTTTCTGCGGTGTCTTCAAAAAGGGCGGCAACCAAATTTTGAGTTTCTTTAAGACCATCTTCATTTATATCCCAGCCGATTATTTTGGCACCTTTAATGGCGAGTTTCAAGGATAGAAGTCGGCCTAATCCGCTTCCTGCCCCTGTCACCAACACAACTTGCCCCTCAATCGACTTCGGTTTTCCGCGATAAAAAAGCCGACAAAACGACTTGAAATACTCGAGGAGGACTTGAAATACCATAACAAGTAGTTCAATAACCACTTGCATATTGGTGAATTTTGCAAGTGTTTGTATTTAACGACAGATTTTGAGGTTTTGTAGTAAACTTGCTGTATCAAGATACCGATGGTAAATGAAAGATTATATTCTCTCAATCTCAATGGTATAAATAACTACATAACCATTATCAAATATTTAGCTAATTTTAACTCAAGGAGTGGCTCTGGATAAAGTTTGATTGTCCGAAATATCTGCAAAATTTTCTAGTCTGGAGGTCAAAGTTGAGAAATTTCTCGAATGAACCGCCCCAATATCGAATGGAATTTAACCCGAAATCGAGAACTTAAAATTTGGTCTCGATTTTGATATTCAGACCAATTTTAGTATTTGAATAAGCCAAAAATTAAGTTATCCAGCTGACATTAAAAATCACGCTTTCAGAAAAATAGCTGATTTTGATTTTCAAATTTTTTGATATGAATGCTTTGACTGATAATTGCAAATTGGTGAGCGATTTAAGTAAATTACGTTCAATTTAATTAATGACTCCATTTAGTATTTTATGCATTTAATTCGTTGGCTGAAACAAGAGAAATAAACGGAAAAAGATAGTTTTAAAGGAAAAAGAAATTTGTGTGGTTCGTATTTAAACAAACAGCATTTTTTCTTCAGTTGACTGTTTTTCACTTGAGGCTTTATTTTCAAATGTAAGAAAAACTGCAAATTATAAAAAGGTGGTATAAAAAAATCATAAAAACTTCACTAAGCAAATTTCTATGTAAGTTTGAGCTGTGCGTGTATTTGGTTTTTAAAACAAAAACATGAAGCTTTGTTTGGTTAAGTTTTGTTCTTTTTTATTATTTTCAATAAATAGTTTTTTGCTTTTGATTCCAACAACATTTAAAGAGTCTTATAATAGAGTCTTATAAAACTATCGAGCCCATTTCCGAAATTTGGCACTCATTGTGTTATTTTGAAGCGACCCCATTTCTAAACTGAGACCTTAAATCTCAAAAAGTTAAAGTTTGATTTTTTGAATTTGAATGCGACCGAAGTTACAAGAAAAATACCAAAACCATCAAGACGCTTCGTATCAGAGCAATGTTCAGATTTTACTGACTTTTATCCAACTAGAATAGCCGAAAGCCCAAAAATTGAAATCAAGTCAAAACCTCATTGGGAAAGTATTAGAAAAATATAAACGTACAAATATAGTCATTATTCAGCTGCTAGCATGAGCGCTGTTTGGTCTATGAAAGTCGGGACCTAGTGTCGAATAAAATTTACGTCTAGTGACTGACAATGTTGGAATCAAAAACCTCAATTCAACCCGAAATGGATTCTGAGCCAGATTCATTCGCCATACACACGCCATTCATACCCGATAACAAAAAAATCTTTGAGACCAGTTAACAATCCCCCATTGCACCTACTCAAGAATCGCTCGTGTGCATTTTTTAAAAACTTATAAGCTATTCCAGATAAACACAATGAATTTTTAAAATTTATGCAACTGAATTTCTGTTTGGAGTGATCAGCTACCTACAGCTAACAATATTAAATGAGGGTGTTCGTTGTCACGAGGCGATCTTCGGTGTCTCACTCTATGTTAAATATATTTTTTTGTATTTATCTTACAGGTTTCAGTGCAGCATGTTTTTCAGGGTCACTCAACCCAGGTCTTAACGTTTGTCACACTTCTTTGGTGCGAACTCAGTTGCGTAAGCTTAGAACGAAAGTTTAAATCAATTCGACACAATCATTTCTCTTTATATGTCATTCAAAACGTTATTCAATTTTGGAGACTCTATATTCGATTGCTTTATTCTATTCTATTAAATTAGTATGTTTTATTCCATTGCTCGATTTCCAACCGTCAGTTTTATGGCCGAACAGCTAGAGTAATCTCATGGAGCAGCCAGCAATTCCCGTGAACGAAGACAAGTGAGTTAGGACCGATGTGGTTAACTCATAGAGTAATTTCGGATAGGGTACACCGTCTGCTCGTCACGCTATCTTATTTTCGGCCGGATAGATTCGTGCAACTTCTTAGTCTAATACCGATCCTAATCTTACTCTTATATCTACTAGTCTCAGGGTGTTTAACTAGTCTCTGCTAGGCTCAAAAGATCTAGTTAGTTAGATGGATTATGACTGGTTAATATTAAATATTTTACAGTGGTAAAATATCCAATTTATCCAATTATAAAATGTAGTTTAGATCAGGTTCCACCCATCCGGGTTTTAGAGAGTTTTTTAGAATTATCTTTCTGCAATTCAAAGGATGGATGATGAACGTTGGTATTTGGCGAACATCATATTCTTGTCCGGTTCCTCTTGTTTAGGAAGTTCCAGGATTCTGGAGTTAGGGACATACAATCGTTGCGTCGTCTTGTGACAACGACTGTGATCCCCAATGAAATCAATCTGATTTCAAAATGATTTGCTATGACGGGTTTTTCTGTATTCTGTAGAGAACTTGTTTTGTGTTCAACCTCGTCTGCGAATGGCGTGGAGATCGTTTGTGGAAGGGATGCCTCGTAACTCGGATCTGTACGTATACTTGAACATTGAGGTGGTCATTGGTCTAGTTTAATGAAGTCCTTTTCTGCGAAGTCAAGTCGTACTCTAAATCCTTTGAGTTGTGATTGTGGACGGTATATCGGTTGTGATTAGCCATTCTTTGTTCGAGTGTGATGGGATCATCTAATCTTTGGATGTTCGTCTTTGTTGTTGTGTGTTGATCTTTATACTGCAAAGTATGATTTACATTTTATAAAATCATGTTAGTTCGGTTTTTTAATCATGAATTTAGTTAGTTGTTTTCACAAAAGCGTTTTGTTTTAGTTCGGTTATTTTGAAGAGTTACTCACCCTTGAGTACCTCTTATCAAAAATAGAAGTGTGGTCACAAAGCGTGGATGTAGCGCGGTGGGTTAGGCCGGCTATAGAGCATGCTCAGTACGTCCTCTCTGGTGGGTTAGGTTGGGTTTTCTTTTGGGTTTATGTTGGTCTTTCTTCTGTTACTTTGGTTGTGTCCTTTTTTCAAAAATCAAATTGTTTTTGGTATGGGTTTGTCTTGCGACTTTTTTGTGTTTTTTTATTTCCTTCTTAGACTTTATAATAGTCTTCAAAAGAATAAATTATCCAGTTTTAAACTGGGTTAATCCGGTTTGGGTACCAATGTTTTTCTTTTCTTAGTCATGCTGTTATTTTATGATTTGTAGTGTTTAGTAAGCTGCGTTGTTTAGTTTGGTTTAGTATATAATTCCTTTCCAACCGGGTTAAAGGAAAGTTTGAAACTTGTTATTGTGTGTTAGAGTTGTTGAGTGTGAAAACTTGAAACCTTAAATCGTTATTTAAACAATTCTTCGTGGGCGAGCTGTGCGAGTTTGGATAGAATTCCTGTGCGATTGAATGTCAAAAATATCAAAAGGTTAGTACTGCATTTTCATTTTATTAATTTATTAAATCGAATTTCAATGTTACTCCGTTTGAGGGAAAGTTTAAAGTTATAAATTTTCATCGTATTGAATTTTACTGCTTCATGGGAAAATAATTTATAGATAAATTTACTACATTTGGTATGAATTTTATTACATTACTTAGTGCAAGATATTAATAAATTTTAGAAGAATTTTAACAAGTTTGTATTTTTATTTTTCTTTTCTGTTTTGTAGGTGATTGTGGTGTGAAGACTAGAAATATAAATCAAACATTGATAGAAAATGGTTAGTACTAATTTAAATTTAATAGTGAAGAGTATTTTAAATTATACTTACTTGTTAATCATCTGGGAAAAAGCCGTGGGGGAAGATGTCGTGTATCATATCTGATGTTTTTAGTAATTTGGCTAATATGCGAATGATGTTTTTAGTTTGGAGCAGTGGCCAAAGCAATTGAAGTTTATTAAGGATTTTTAGTTCTTCGGTGCCTACTGCAAACTCGTAAGGTGTGTTTTGAATGAGGTTATATATTTTGTGATTATATTTAGTATTGTGAATTATTTCTAATATTGGTATTTCTATAGGCTGGATAAATTCATGCGGGATAAGGAAGGGTCTGGATTCTTCTGCGTTAAAGGTCTTCGTGATGGGACAAAATATATACATTTGTGTTATTGGGTCATAATTGCGGAGGATGCCGTGGAGGTTAGTATCTTTGATGCAATAAGTGAAATTAAGGAAAAATGGTGATGTGTATTTTGAGTTAAGAAACTAAAAACGATGTTGTGGTTGTCTTGATGGGGTATGCAAATCAAAATGATTTTGTATAAAACGATAGTATGTTTATGTGTGAGTTTGTTTAGTGCGTAACATAATATCGTGGGAACAGTGCAAATCGCGTTCATGTGGTGCAAGGAAGTGAAAGTTTAGTGAAAATAACTGAAATTTGTCTGTGAGACTTTCGTAAGCTTGAATATCATTTAGTGCTTCAGAAATGATGTGATCATATTTTCTATCAAAATTATTAAGTGTGAATAGATATGATGTTTTGATGAAGATTTTTTCTGTTAGTTGTGGGTTAGCGAAGCGATCTCCATCTAAAAATTGGTCTTGATTAGTTCGGATAATATTATGGTCCTAATATTCTATTGTAAATTCGTTAGCTCGGGGTGCAGTGAATGTTTTTAGTAATTTTTTATATGCTACATAAGTAAATTGTCTAGGTGTTAGTGTTGCGGTGAGTCTATATAACATTTTTTGTTCTTTTCTATGTCATCATGAGTACTAGATAGTGGTAGGCAAAGGGGGTTAGTAAAATGATAATAAGCTGTCCAATGAAATGTGGGCATTAAAACATGTTCATCTACGAAACTTCGTGTGTCATTAGTGTCGTTAAGTGTATTTACCGTATATTGTGGAAATGAGGGTAAAGTGATTGCTAGAAAATCTTTCGTGTTGGTGTGTTGTGGGTGATCAAAATATTCTTAGGCTGATCCTGGTTTGGTCGGGATTGAATGATTCGTGAATTTTCTTTTGAAAGTGCGAAAAGCTTAGTTAGTGCTACTAGGTGTTTCGGTGGATGTGGATGATTGTGCTAATGATGCAGTGTAAGCTGAGGAGGGTGTAGGAGTAGATGGGTTTGAGGATTCTATTGTGGATGAAAGTTGATGTATTGTGAGGGTGTTAGGGTGTATTAACTGTTGTTGTAGGGTAATAAAATTATCGAGTTCCTGGAAAATTTGTGGGGTATCTGGAGAATTATTATATGATCGGTCGGAATGAAATGGGGAGTAGGTTGGGGTCACTTGCGAAGCATAAGAAGGAGTGGAAACGGATGGGAGTGAATTATTTGTCGGGATTGGTTGAAAAGGGGATTTTGAAAAAACTTAGGAGTTGGTCTGAAAATTATTTGATGGAGATAGTTCGGAATCTGCAAATTCGTCAGGGGTTTCTATATTAGGGTTATTAAGTTGTGAGATAGAGTACAAAACTGAAAAATCTGAGTTAGTATCCGAATTCGCGCTTGATGATATATTAATAATTGGAAAATTGGGTGGTGGGAAAACAAAAAGTGGGATTATTGGGATTGGAGTTTGGAGGTTGGCTGGGTGGGAATTTGAGCGGTGTAGGGATCCAAGTTGTCGGCTCATCGTGGGCTAAAAAAACGATTATTTTGAGACTAAAAAGTGGTGGTATGGGGTTGTTCTATATTTTGTTCGTATGTATTCTCATCTTGTGAATGATGTGTCATTATGTGTTGGATTGGACGTTGTGTTGTATTTGGTCTAAGATTTG